TAGCGCGACCTGTGCCTCGGTATTTCTTAACGGCATATACACGACTTACATTCTTCCTTTATTTGATTATTGTGACGTAGTATACGACGGATTTTTGACAACCAGCGACTCCCTTAGACTTGACAGATTGCAGCACAGAGCAGCAAGACTGATCACCGGTGCTCTCTACAGAAAGCATACTCGCGCACTGTTGGATGATTTGGGATGGAACACTCTCAGATCAGAAAGGAACATGCCCAAACTGACGCTGTTCCGCACCCTCATACACAACCAACATCTACTGCCAACAAACGTCACTGCACTTCTACCTGACACACGAGCACTTGCTACAGGACGCCCAATACACAATGCAATGACACACATATTACCACCGAACAGAACCCCAACATACCAAAAATATTATATTCCATCAACTACGGGAAGATGGAGCCAGCTCCCGCTTGAGGTGTCATCTCTCCAGTCTTCTCGTTCCTTCAAACGGGTAATATACCAGCGCTGCGGTGTGGCCGCACTTCCGGTGTATCACAGCTTTGGATCCAGGCATGGCAACACCCAAACACTAGGCCGAGATTGGGAATGTCAGACCTGAATGTCCACCTGTTCGAAATTCAAAATCCAACTACACCTAGTCCCTCTTGCTTATGTGGCTATTCATATAAAGACCCTAAACACTTTGTACTGAACTGTCCTCGCTGTCATGAAATCCGAATTTGAAGGCTGCGTAAAACAGATCGTATCATTCCAAACTTTTCTGAGCATACTCACAACGAACAATTAAGTATCTGTCTTAGAGGTAATGGTTTACAGGATCGCAGTGGACAGCACATAGCAGACAATTTCCAAACATTTTTTTTCTCAAAACAAACGATTCGCCTAAAAACTTCCAGCGGGCGCGGGCAGCAGACGGGCGGCCACTGGGTGGCGTTGCCAGGCCGGGTGTCTGCAGCCGGCCCACGACGGCTATATGTGTAGACTGGAGTGGCGGTGGGTGCCTGGCCCGTGTCGGCTTACGGATCGGGCGAGTGGGCGGTGTGTCGTGGATTCCCTGGTGGTGATGACCATATCTTGTTATTGTTATGAGAGGCGCTCAGATTTAAGCGTTCCGCTTATGCGCCAACCCACTCTTCATATTATAAACTACTTAATGTCCATAATGGAAAATAAACATCAAATAAAAATCGGCGGCTCGGATCCCGCACCCACACACTGTCGCGAACACCAAACTTACCACTACGCACGGCTCATCCACCGCTCTGTCAATTCCACGCGCGCGCAGCTCGTACCGGTGTACCGCGCTCGCGGGCGCAGCTCGTACCGGTGTACCGCGCTCGCGGGCGCAGTCTCATGTCCCATCCCGTCCTTCGGTGTCACATTGTACATCTAGACGGCTTCAGTCACCGAACACTGTGACCGAGGCACGACAGATTTCACCGTTCGGTGGCATCGTTCCACTACCCCGTTTCCAGACGGTGCATGAGCTGCACGGAACCGGACCGCGAGCCCACACCGCCGTGCGAAGTCTCAAAATACTGCACTGCGGAAGGCCGTATCGTCTGTCAGTAGCTCCAACAGACCTCCCCGTTCACAGAACAACTGTTCTAGCTGCTCAATCCCACAGGCACTGTCCTGTCCCCGTAAGCGCCCCCACACCGCGAACCGGGAGGGACCGCAATCAATGGTTGCCAGGTAATGAGCGCCGCCGGCATGCGTCACGTCCATTGCAAGTCGCTCCCACGTTCCCAACACGCCCAGCCCCCTCTCTCCTATGGGGCTGGTGAAGGATCAATAGACTAACAGCGCTAGCAGTCCCGCACCACCTCTCTCACTTGACGCTTGGGGCACTGTCGTCGGACAGGCGCGCCTGCAGGAATACAGGGTGCGCTTAGCTCCTGGATGTCCAGAGTGTTCATGCACTCTGCGGATTTCTGACAGCTACCCCGCCGCCTTCCCCGGCCGCGGCCCACCGTCCGCCGTCGCCGTCCCCATCTGCGGCTCACCGCCCGCCACTGCCGTCCCCATCCGCGGCTCACCGTCCGCCACTGCCGTCCCCATCCGCGGCTCACCGCCCGCCGCCGCCGTCCCCATCTGCGGCCCACCGTCCGCCACTGCCGTCCCCATCTGCGGCTCACCGTCCGCCACTGCCGTCCCCATCTGCGGCTCACCGTCCGCCACTGCCGTCCCCATCCGCGGTTCACCGTACGCCGCCGCCGTCCCCATCTGCGGCTCACCGTCCGCCACTGCCGTCCCCATCTGCGGCTCACCGTACGCCGCCGCCGTCCGCTTACTGCTCCCTGCCTCTGCCGCCGCCGACTCCTCACTGCTCCCGGCCGCCGCCGCTGCCACGCAGGCGCCACCGACTTCCATTCCAAAACACACGTCTCCGGGCGACCTCACACTCACTCCTCCCGAAGCCTCCACCCCATCCATTACAAGTATCGCCGACAAGCCGAGCGGCCTTTTCTTTACGACAATCGCGTCCACGATCACCGCTGCACGCAGTCCTGGGAGCTGAATACGGACGTCAGCCGTGTCGGTACAGTCAAATCGTTGACCGCTGACCGTCACCATGCTGACATCTCTCCTTTGCCAGTTGGCACACAGAGACGAGTGCACTATGCCGCGCGTGCAGCCTGTATCGACGAGTACCTCGCACTCAGCTTCCCCCAGCAGCAGCACTCTGACCGGCAGCGCGCCGCAACACCTCAGTCCCGAGAGGAGGCCGGCACACGAGCCTCCTCTCGATCCCTGTTTCCTGGACATTGGGCTGCCATATGTCCCCGACCATCACAGCGGTAGCACCGGATAACTTCTGCATTACCGCCCGCACATGCAGGGCACTGCCGCGCGATGTGGCCCGGGCGACCACACGCGTAGCACGCTACACGCCTGTTCGGTCCGCCGTACGAACCCGGCTGCCGTGTGAGTGGCCCTCATCGTGTCAGGGCAGCGCCTCCTCCGGTCCGTCGCCCTCCTCTCGCTGCCTCCTCCGGTCCGTCGCCCTCCTCTCGCTGCCTCCTCCGGTCCGTCGCCCTCCTCTCGCTGCCTCCTCCGGTCCGTCGCCCTCCTCTCGGAGGACGGCGCGCGGCTGCCTCCTCCGGTCCGTCGCCCTCCTCTCGGAGGACGGCGCGCGGCTGTCTCCTCCGGTCCGTCGCCCTCCTCTCGGAGGACGGCGCGCGGCTGTCTCCTCCGGTCCGTCGCCCTCCTCTCGGAGGACGGCTCTGGCGCGGTCCACGATCTCGGTGAGAGAGAGGGAGACTCCATCCTCGCACCAGCACGTAGCAGCTGTTTGGTCGATTCGGGCAGGCCAGCCACAGAAGCGCAGCCGACACCCTCCTCTGACAGCCCGCCAAACAGCGTCGCCAGCTGCTGCAGCTCCGCCAAATATACGTCCATGGATTCACCAGCGCGCAGCCGTCGTGCCATTAATAGCTCGAACGCTGCGAACTTGTCCACGGCGAAGGCACAACGTAGAGATTTCTTGACTTGCTCGGCGTTTCTCCTGTGCTCTGTTGATAGCTGCCGGTAAACGGCTGAGGCGCCGCATTTCAGACTCAACGGGATGATTATCGCAACATCCGCCCATGGCTGCTGCAGACTGCACACCGTCTGCACCTTCTCGAGCCAGTCAACGATATCGCCGGTGCCATCAAATTCAGGGATAAGTTTGACGTCAAAGTTGCCATGGTTAACAACCGAAATAGCTTGTAAGATAACGAAGCAAAGAAGTGCGCGGCTGACTGTATTTAAAACGTTACCGGCACCTCCCTGCCCCCCCCCCCCCCCCCCCCCTCACCGCGCCTCACCTCTATCCCACCGCCGCCGCGCCGGCCGGTCCGCGCGGCAGTCAGCTGACTCAGCAGCCAGACAGAGCTGAGGAGACGACCCACACGTATCGGCGGCCGACTCGGCGTACATACAGCACATATATCTTGAGAACTTCATCACCGAGACATCTCTAGAAGCTCACGAAACCACCTATGACGCTCTCAGACATTTACGAGACAGCTTCGCCAATCTCTTCCGCACTGCGGCTGTGAGACAAGCCGCCTGTACAGCTGAAAAGGTCCGCACTCTGGGGGTTTACAAATTGGACAACTCTACAACGAATGATACCTGCCTATCAATGATGGCCCTTTGCTAAGCGAAAAGACCTTACGGATTAGCCCACCATTTCAACTGCTGCTGCTCGGGGGGTAAAGAAGTTGCTGCCCACTAACAGGCCATATCTTGACATGTTCAAGGCGTTGACGTTCAAGGCGTTCAAGGCGTTGAGTGCGTTCGCAGCCGCTCAATATGCCTACCCAAGTCATGGAATGTTGCCTTCTCGGTGGTGTTGGAAATATCGCCATACAGCTACTACAGCTGCTCCCATAAATCTCGTAAAATAATAGCGTGGACGCAACGTCATCGTGCGCCCGGGTACACCAAAACGCTTACTACAGGGCACAGAGCTGCATGCAATTCTGAATGTCTTGTCAATATAAATGCAGCGGAAGTCCGGGCTTTTCTGAAGGGTTTTAAATCAAGCTGATTTCCTATGATCACGCAAACGTTATGGCACGGAATGCGCCGCAGCTCGCTCCGTCCCTTGGTGGTCAAGTTGGCGTGCCACGTGCAGACATGAGCCTGCAGCGAACCGGATGCGAGCAGTTTGCTGGTACGTCTAGAAGGCGCCTATGTTTGCTTTATGGTATATTGACATCAGGGGAACGGAAGCGGGTTGACAAGGAGAAATCGTCGGATTTTTTTATCGAAGTAAGCAGGAAGCACCTTGTTATCCTGCTTTTCAGCACTATGAGCTGAGAGTCTGTATGCTGACCACACACGACCTGCAATATACTAGGTTAAACGGTGTTATATTGTGAACAGAACGCCGGTGTGCGGTGGGACCCACCCAAACAATCACCACAGGACATGGCGTCTGGCCTGCGGCAACAGACACTGGACAAGCACCGCTGCGAACACGTCCGACTGCCAGGCGCAGCACCGGCCGGAAGCACGAAGTCAGATCACTGATGCTCCACCAGCGACCTCATCAGCGACAGACAGCCGCCGCGGTATTCGGTCCCGAAGTGATTCCTGAAACGGCACACCGCATTAGCGTAGAAAGGTCAGGGGTGCGCGTAGCGAGTGTCGTGTAGAAAGGTCTGTAGATATAACGTTAAGGGAGGCAAGTGTTTCATGGCCATGCACCCTACAGTGCCACTTAGAAATGGGTCTTTTGGCGGCATTTGTATAAGCAAATTTGTCATAGCCTACAGGCAGTTTCAGGGACATTGACAATTATCACCCCTAACATCGGACGTAATATAAATGGCCAACAAGTATCGGCGTGATCCGATGTCCGATTGCTAACATGTCTAACGGCTGACATTAAATTTTACTCTCGTGGGATCCACATCAGCACATAACCGAACGGGGTGGGATTGGAGGGGAGCCAGCTATGATATTGTTGGACTAAATGGAGATAGATACAAAAACAGAACACCATTAGGTATGTATTACCGTTTCGGGCAATATTTCCCAAAGTACTTTGTGGATCGAAGTGAAACGTGAAATCAGGCCTACAATCATTATTATTTCATATTTACCTACAGGTTAATTAAAATCGATTGTAGATATCAACTTGGCAAGCTTTTAAGCCATTTGCTGCAGCAAGATGCTCGGTTGAGCCACTTGACGGGAACCTGCATCAGGCAGCCTACGATAACGTGTTGACGCCTAATGGGGAATCGCTATTGACACTGATCATTAAACGTGATATCATCTAACCCATTACATTTCGATATCATGCATTCCACATAGCAAAGACCAGAGATCAACTGTGTCGGAAAACACTTCCCGAAAACGGAGCGACACATAGGGTCTAAAAGTGGATACGGCCGACTAGGTATGCTTTACAAGTGTGCATTATCAGTAGTGTAAACCGACCATCAACTTGGTTTCATGACTTATGCGGACCTCGAAATAGTATTCCTGGACAGGAAAGTGAACGAAGACATGGATCATTAACGTGGAGACGCATAACAAGCGGCAAGTGCAACACGGACCAAAGACTGGAAACGCGGCATTTTGGCATTTTGCGTTAAAAATGGAGGTTGGTGACCTGACAGTGCGCATTGACAACGTGGTATGGCACCGATAGCAGTCAAGTTTTCGACAGGAGCCTTTCCATAGAGTTTTATGAACACATTCCACTGTTTGATCCTGTACCTCAAAAGCATCACGGGTACGACGAACCAGATCAAACAACTGGGATAATTGCTTTTAGCCCTTCTTCATACCACACACCCTATCCTACACACCATCCAATCAGGCAAAAAATCCTTTGCGGAGCTTAGTAAAGCTTACCAGCCTACCACCAGTTTGTTAGTTTTCAGATTACACCATGGCAGTTCTTTGTAAAACGTCGGTCTCGGAATGGCTAAATGAATGTTGTTTGTATCACATTCATATTATTCAAAAATGGGATTGTAAGGCGTTGTTGTTAACTGAATGTAGATCCTATTTCCTGTAAGCACGTGCGACTTACCACTGATTCAGCTTCGTGAAGAGCTGGTAGAGCCGGTTTCTGGACTCGAAGCCAACCTCCTTTGGCAGCAACTCGTGGTACGCTCTGTAGAAGTCGGCTCCAAATCCCCCGAGCATCTTCGCGATTCCGAGATCGAACTCGGCGTGTCCATAGAAGGTGGCGGGATCGAACAACACTGTTGGCGCACATTTTGGTGAGTGCAGCGCAGCGGCTCAAGGCCATTTGCCGCCCCGCAAATGCAGTCACACTTGATCAAGCTTTCAGCTGGCGGAGGTCTCCCACTCACAAATACACTCACAGCCAGACAGCATAAACACCACAGAATCCAGCAACAGTATGTCTGTCACTCACGAAGGAGTGCACTTACTGTCATCGGCTCTGCTTACCTGGCTCGTGGTCCACCTCGGCCGTGTTTCCAAACCACAGGTCACCGTGCAGCAGCGCCGGCTCCACACTGATGTCTCGAAAGAATTCCGGTAGGCAGCGCAGCAGTCGCGGCCACAGTTCCGCGACCTCCCGATCGCCATAATCCCGCTCAATCATCTCGATCTAGGGTGTGACAAAAAATTTCGTCACTATTTCATTAAATGCCAGAAAAATTTTCGCGCTGTACCCCATACTTCATGATTTGTACGCGGGTAGGCAAATGTCAGGGCTCTAAATGCCATACGTACGCTCGGTGAAATAACAACCCAGAATTGACCTGTGGTAGTTCGCGTTTCTTCATGAGACCGGTGGGGTCAATATTACGGTATTGGCTTGTGCCGGATATGGTGGTGTTGGTACGAGTACTGACGACGTACGCTCGTTGTCTTCCTGTTCGCATCGTTTTGTTTGCCTTCTGCCTCCTGCCGCAGCTGCGGCCAAGGGGCTTTCCCGTTCTTTTCTTCTTGTTGACTCTTCGATGTTCTTCCACTGCATTCTTTCTCAAGCACACTTATGGTCACTTCCGGCGTATCTTAGCTTTACTCCCTTTCTAAGCGGGGGAGCGTAAGATACGCGAAACTGCTCCCCAAGACAGCTCCCCAAGACAGCTCCCCAAGACAGCTCCCCAAGACACTGGCACCGACTGAACCCTGGCCTCTGGCGCGGATTGCTCCGTCACAGATGATCGAGCCGATACTGAACCAAGCACGTCTGCACCTTGCCACGATGTCGACTGTCACACGGGCACAGAAACGGTCATCAGATCTGCCGCTGCCGTGTCTGGTTCCGCTTCCTACTCCCGCTCGTCTCGCGGCCCGCGGTGCCGTCTTTGGTTCCGCTTCCTACTCCCGCTCGTCTCGCGGCCCATGGTGTCGTCTCTGGTTCCGTTTCTTACTCCCACTCGTCTCGCGGCCCACAGCGCTGCCTCGGCCCATCGGTCGTCGAGCTTTCATGCTGACCCTTGGACGTCTGCTTGCAACGGATGCTGTCCACCTCTGAAAAACTCCTGAACTTCTCAGCTCGCACCCTGCCGTGCAACCGTGAGACGAAGACGTGCCATTCAGAAAAACGAGGCTTCGTAGCCTTTCAAGAAAGTGCAGGCTATTTGCCGTCCGACTCAGGATTGAAGACCCAGCAAATGGCTCCGCTATTACCGAAACTCAGAACCACGCCCTCACAAAATCACTGCATGGCATATTGGGGACGCCCCGGCGCGCGGCCACGACCCCGGCTCCGAACCCCAGCGTGACCAGTTCCACAGGCTATGGCTTGAGCACTACCAGGTCGGTCCCAGCGGCTGCATCCCCGCGGCCAGCCGCTCATGGCTCGGGCCCGCACGCAGACCGTCGACCCGTTCGGCTATTTATTGTCGCCATGGGCAGGACACCCCCAATGTCTCATGGCCGGCAACTGCCCCCCTTCCCCCCCCCCGCCCCACCCCCCGGTCGCGATGGCATCGTGCACGACCCGCCACTGACGACACCTGCAGGTGCTGGCGTTGCCTGTCTGAAATTACAACAGTGTATAGCGTACCGAGGACTGGTCAGCAAATGGACTGAAGCAACATCGTTCTTCTTCTCATTTGCAACGGTCAGTGCAGCAAAGGAAGCTTGTTGTTTTGCCAAAGGATCCCTTAAATTTTTTGTTAGCTCATTACACAGATGTGAGCGTGGTAAGACTCGAGGAGACCACCGCCAGCTTGTTACAGCCTTGTATGTTCCTCACATTAACAATTCCCTTTGCATGAGGTAACGCGCACTTTCTGTCTGTACGCATGCGAAATTGAGACATAGTTCCATGTATCAATTTAGCCACGTTAAGACAAGGCTGACCTTATGAGGAGTTCAAATGAACTGGGAGGACAATTTTGAACCGCTTTTTTGTATTCGGTGCTTTCAACGGCCACCGCCTATTTTGGAACCGTGGCTCACGTGGGGTGGACTACCGAGGCTATAAGATCGAAGACTTTCTCGTCATTAATCTATTAAGCTGAGTAACACCGTTTGAGCGCTCATTTTTACAGATGGTAAGCCAAATTAATTGGCTACAAAATCCTACAAAAAATATCAGCTTTTTATATTTATCTAATTACTTTTATCTTTCTAGGTATCATACGAATGTGATACTTAATTGCGGCTTCTTTTCTGACTATCTGTAAAGATACCACGCATTGCTTAAAGTGCAAGCCAATTTCTCTGCAAAATGCTTCATCTGCAAACTTGGACATATTTCATGCATAAACTGGATTAACTTGCCAGCGGCTCAAACATGTTTCATATGCGCCCAGAAGTCAACAGCTCATATGGAATGAAAGAGACAATTTAAAGCACGGGACTTATTTTTGTTGCCATTTTTGCCCTGTTAAAACCCCATCTAGCCGTTTTTAGTTTATGGCGGGCTCGATATTGATAAATCTAATCCATTCCAGTTTCGCTACCTCACCACGTTGCATTATCCCGATGTACATGGTTTTTGGACAGACCTGGCGCAGCTAATATAGACATGTTTGGTATCAAGATTCTGCCCTTGTTTTTATGCAGACCTCCTCATACTTATTTTGCATTTCCATCTTGTAGTTGGTGGGCATGACTGATTTTATATTTTGAGGGTGGGTTCGGTAATCCTGTTCGTAAGCAAAGCAAGCAAAAGCCATTGTGGGGGACCAGATAGGAGCCTGTCTTTAAAAACAGGGGTAAGTTTTTCTTATGAAGCACCTGACTGCTACCTTTGCCTGCTTTCAACACATGATTTGCGACCAGATTTGGTCATTTTCTGTTTTAATCCATCGAGCTTTTTTCATAAGACAAATAATCAAACCACAAGATATGTAATGGAGCTATTTTGTTTCACAAGCTTGATAACTTCTCTCAAATTTGATGAAGTGGTCCCTCATGTCTGCTTTAACAGGATGTTGTCCATAGTAACTACGGTTGGCTGACTTGCAAATGCCTGTACTGTGGATATGCACCATGTTTTTCACAGGAATATTTTAGGCTGCATAGCAATTGCAATATGAGGTAGATATCAGTTTTTAGGAAATAGCCAGACCATCCCATTTAAAATGTGAGGCAAACATCTTAAACTTTATAATTAAATGCGGTTATATACAAAAACTGGTTTTGTGACCATTTGCAAGCCATGTTATATGTGGGGAAGAGACGTTGCTTGTGGAGGATATCCGCTATTGCCCTTGACAGAGGCTAACCATAACGATCAGGATAAGTTGTTCAAAGTGATTTGAGGGGTTTTGACTGGTGTCTTGTCAGCTTTGTCTGGTGTCAACAAGCTGACACAAATGAATTGAAACAAAACAACTGAAACCAGCCAAAAAATAAATTTCATCCTTTTTCACATCTGCTGCTGTCAAGAAATAGGTGAGGTGAGTTAAGGTGATGTAAAACATATGGGCTACTTTAAGTTATGTTAAGCTGGTCAATCGCATGACAAGTGGTCGAAGAAATTTTGTGAGGATCAGTGACTCACAAATGCTGATATGCAAATAGTTTAGGCAGGATGATATGAGGTGAGGCTTCTTTAAGCTGGGCTTAGTTAGGCTGCTTTCATGGCAACAACCATCAGTATTTTATAAGAAACAGTAATATCATATGTGTATTTCTTGATCCCATCTGAGCAGATGCCAGAGGCATGTCTGTTGGGTTTTACTTGATGATGCGTTGATGTGCTGTAGTCCGAAGGTTTTTTGTTTGGATGCTTAATGCTTGTTGCATTTTTGTTGTTGTTTTGCTGTTGAACTCCTTTGCTTTGTTTTGCGTTAAAGAATCCCGTGGAAGTTAAGTGCAAAATACGGCAAAGTGCAGCTCATGCACCTCAGGAGATGCCGTTGCCGGACGAACTCGTGCATTCGGCACAATTTTCACACGATGTGTCAAAGGCTTGGAAAATGTGCATGGCCTTTTGAGCATAAGCTCCATCAAAGTGCGCGCCGGTTGTGCGCACTTTGACTATCTAAAGGTTAGAAATTCATATCAATGGATGGCTGAGGTGGATCGCATCCATTAACACTGCAGCGGTAACGATAAAATCACTCTAACCGCTACAGGACGTCGCGTAACTGGGACAGCGATATTTTTATTTTGGCGCAACCGAGAACGTAACTCCTGCGGCTCCCGATGAAAGATTTGTTCCGACATTTTTGTGCAAACCTGCGCGGTTCTGACGTTCTAGGAGAACACCTGAACAGTACCACTAAAAAATCGAATGAAGCAGTGCAGTCTTGCGAGCGCCTAAGTCAATTACCCGCCGAACTGTGCGCAAGCGGTACAAACACTCCGATACACAACAGGCCCTGGCCAAATTGTTTATGAACGAACTTGAGGATAAACAATCAGCTAGCGAACTGCTTCGCCAGTAGCCTTTGACTTTGAACACCGCTTTATATAGCGCATTCATGAAAGACAAATTTTACAGGCAAATACAGATGCGGAACAGAGAGGAGCCGATGGAAATCGATCTGGTTAAACTAGCCACAGACCCCTTTCAGAAAAAATCGAACAGCTCACGGAAACTGACATTATTCTAGTAGTTAGAATGGAGCAAGCGAACCAAACGAAAGCGCTTCATGGAGTGCAACCACCACAAGCGAGCCAGTACACGCAGACGCCTCAAAACCAGAACCAGAGACGCTTTATGCCACAACCTCCCCCTCCCATCCCCTGGATAAGGTAGACCATATTCATCAACGCCACGAAAAAAATTCAGGGACACAAACTTATCACGGGCCAGATCCAAGGTTGCATAGAGATAGCCCGGCACGACCTGATATCAGTTTACTGACGATCATAGGCTAATTTGTCATTGTTGCCACATTCCAGGCCACATTCAACGCGTGTGTCGCAAGTATACTGCGCATCTACGCAGACATGTGAAGGGGAACATCCGGAAACTAGTAGGACTTCCATCCAGCCGAGAAAGTGAGATTGTAACATAGCTGTGAGCAAGGAATAGAATGGCGGAACTCAATTTTCGCTGATAAGCGATAAACTGTTAAAATCATGTGACGATGCTTTGATAAATGAAACGTGTCAGGAAAAAGTACCTTTAGTGCTTGCTTCAAGCCACTGACTGAAAGTAACACAAATAGTAAAAATTCGAATTGCATTGGGTAAACCCAGAATGTACAATTCATTCTTTGTAGCTACATGAATAGGTCACGACATGATTTTAGGTGTAGACTTTCTCAGTGGAAGAAAAGCTCTCCTTGACTTTGATTATCAGCTATTGGAAATTGGTGTAGCCTTATTTCCACTAACGCAAAAGGAAAACGGTCAAGAAGAGGAAATTAATTTCATAAGATTGTCAGAAAACGTCCATTTGTATCCTAGATCATCAGCTCAAATCGAATATCAACCATGCCAAAATAAGACTGCTGTAAAACAGTTTATTCTGACCCAACTTACTTACTTCCCATACTTTGAAGATGAACCTGGAATTCTCTTACCAAATGCATTCGTTCAAATGTCCAAAAACAAAAACGTTCCCTGGGTAAACGTGAGTGAGACAGGCAGGCATTTTTACGTTCGAAAAGACCAAATTTTGGGCAAAGCGTCCAATTTCAAAACAGAAAATCAGGTTTAAGTCAATCAGGTAGAAGCAGAAACAACCAATAATATTCACAGTCAAACATCTAGTTGAAAATGTTCAATTTAGCGCGCATTTCAGAAGAACGACACATACATCTTAAACCACAGTTTGGATGCCTTCGTGGTAAAAGATTCGGAAGTAACGACTACCCATGTCTGCGAAATACTAATAAACATGCAAAAAAATCACCTGTTAAGCAAAAACCATGCATAATTTTTTTACCCAAAAAGTGATCTCGAATAAACATGTGGATGATATGCTGAAAGCAGGTATCCTTTGCCGAACCTCGCCGTGGCTATCACCTGTGGTTGTATTGCCAAAAAAGGATGGCTCACATCGAATTTGTGTAACCCTCAGAAAATTGAACGTCATAACCAAAGTACCCGCCTCCAGCATACCTAACGCCGAAGGTATCATTCACTCGTCAGGAAAGCCTAAATTTCGCAACTATCTGGGCTTAAAAGCCGGATTTGGGTAAGATCCGATCAAAAAGCAAGATAAAGGAAAATCCGCTTTTGGTACGGATACAGGTGTTTTGAATACATTCCATGACTTTTGGTTTGGCTAGTTTCCCAGCAGTGTTCCAAAACCTGATAAATGTCGTTTTTAGCAATGTCAAATCATTGGCAGTTGTCTTCATCGACGACATTATTATCCATATCGCCACTTCTGACGAACGTTTGCAACACCTCGAGACAGCATTTGACCGAATGCGACGCGCAAACCTTTACCTCAAAATACCAAAGTGCGAATTCCTAAAAGACAAGCTAATTTTTTGGGACACGCACTTTCAAACGAAGGAATTAGCGTGGACCCAAACAAAGTCAAAGTCGTCAACAATATGCAACCGCCTCGAAACCTTAGTCAAGCCCTTGGATTTGTTGGAGTGGCACATTATTACTGGAAGTACGTGCCACAGCTCATTGAAATTGCGAGAATTTTCATAACACTCACGAGAAAGAATGCGAGATTTGAATGAAGTGATCAAACGCAGTATGTATTTGATACTCTCGAGACGATATTGGTGGAATCACCAGTCTTGGCTTTTCCGGAGGTCACCCAACCTTTCTTGATATGTGCAGACGCTCCGCAATACGCTTTAGGTGCAGTGCTGATGCAAAAACAAGAGGATCAAGAGAAAGTGATGCAGTACGTATTGCATCAATCTACGGATGCACAAAAGAAATGGCCGACTATAGAACGCGAAGCGTTCGTTATAGTGTATAGCTAACAAAAACGTCGCCCTGTCATTTTAGGTACCAAGCGTACGATCTCTACAGACTATAACCCCCTGAAACACATTTTTACAAGCGAAATGCAGAATTCTCGAGTACAGCGATGGGCTATGATAATGAATGAATACGGCTGCAATAATGAGCACATCAATGGTGCAAAAATGCTACCGCAGGTATTCGCTCTGGACTTCCGAACTCGAATCAAGTGGAAAATTTATCGGACGGTGAATGACTAGGTCGGTATGACCAACAGGCCGTCACTTTATAAATTAACGCGATCGACAATGCTCAGATACAAAACAAGTGTGCAGAGGATGCTCCGTATACCGAAGGTGTTGCTATGTCCTCGACAGACGCTGTGCTCCGGAGGACATAAAAGGATGAGCCCTTGTTAGAAAAACATCCTTCAATAACTACTGGAGGAAACGATGATAAAGTAAAAGGATATTACATAGAGGATGACTTACTGTACCATTTAGCGTCAGATACCAAAGCGCGTCCCTTGATCCATGCTCAACTAGTAATTCCTGAAAAAAATTCAGGTATATCATCCTTTGGGAGGCGCAGGCTGGATAATTAGGGGGACACCTAGGCATCGAGAAGACCACTGACAAGGTCATGAAATCGTTTTTTTGGCCAGACATGTTAAAAGAGATTAACACATATGTCCAAACTTGTGAGAAGTGTAAGATAAAAAAACTCAAAAAGGAAAGACGCCTGTTACAAGACATGCCAACGCCAAGTCCTTCCATGACTGACGTCAGCATTGATTTAATAGGACCCCTTACGATCTCCTCAAAAGGAAACGTTTGCGTTTGCACAATAGTTGGCTTATTCTCTGGATGGCCGGAATTCCATTCAATAAATAAATAAAAAATGCGGACAAAATAGCCCGAAAACTCTTGGACAAAGTCATGCCCCGCCATGGATGTCCTCGGTCAATTCTGAACGATCAGGGAACAACATTTTGCAGTGCAGTTATAGACACTGTCAACAAATGGTAAGGAATAGCTAGGATACGTGCGAGTAGCTACCACGGTCAAACCAACGGAAAACGGAAAGATTCCGAGGTATTGAAAGAGATGATTGTAAAAAAGCTTAATGAAAATCACACGGAGTGGGAACGGATACTTCAACCGTGTCTAGACGCTTGCAGGGTTAACAAAAGCGAAACGGCTAAATACTCGCCGCACTTTCTCAAGTATGGCCGAGATCTAATTTTGCCTGCAGACACCTTGATGCATCCTAGTTATAAATGCTATGGCAACGAGTATGTTCCCCAAATGTTTGAAAATATCCACCACGCATTCAAACATGTCACAGAAAACACTCAACAAACATGGGATCACAACAAAAAGTCAGTTGACAAAAATGCTCAAGCTTCCTCAATCTAAACTGGTCCATATTATTACTACCATACCAAGGTCAAAATAAAGGATTCATCAAACTTCACTTTGCACTGGTGGCCTTACTTATGCATTGTTGCCAAAACTGGAAAAGAAAGCTAAGTGATTAAAAACATGGCAACCCATAAAACTAAGCTAGTTTATTCAGAAAGGCTTCGAATTAAGGATATTAATGACGTTTGAAAAATAAATTACGACACTGTGAAATACCTCATTGAAATTCGCATGAAACATGAACTCATCAGCGGTATATTACCCGTGAAAACAGCGAGATCCAAATATGCCTGCGTACCGAGCTGCCATTCTATCAACTGCATGAGCCTGCATACTCCATGGCATCTCCCAGGTCATGCCTGGTAGCCCTGTTTCGGAAAGAAGAGGCATTAATCCATCATTTATATGCTCCAGTGGTGTACCATAGCAACCACGATCCGAAAGGATATTATCTTCGGACATGGCCGGTGGATACTGGTTTTCACCAAACCTTTTAGACTTACTACGCTTTGCGCCGCAAACCAGACCAGTCAAACCTTTATAATTCGCGATAGAGTAAACCTACTGGAACTTGATGCGGAGCGTTCAGCCTCCAGCGACACACTTTTTTGACTCCATATTCTTTGGCAAATCTCAACTTCAGCTACCGCAGTTCCACGTAAATGCCATACTTACCGATCATCTGGCTCTCGCCTTGGAACGCCTCTCTTCATCCATGGGCCTTGGTTTCGTCATCACTGGCTGCTGTGCCTTGTGTTACACTTCCAGTCATTAGAAGCCCGATCCTGTACCTCGCCCGACGCACAGAAGCCATCATAACACACTACGTACCTGCGCCTCGTACCTGCGGCTGCAGTTTGACGCGCGTCATGAACTCCAGCCAGTCGCCGTGCCACGTATTGGCCTGGCGGATCCGGCCGGCATACGTGGGCACGTGGAAACCAAACTGCCGGCTCGCGTGGGCTGCCTGAGGGGGAGTGTCAACACTCGAATCAGATGGACCGAAGAGGAAAAGTGTTGACAAGGCTGAGCGGTGTTTCTCTGGTGTTTCTGCTTAAAACGAAAATACACACGTCACCAGAACATCGTATGATGCGGCTAAGAGCTTTGGCTCACACGTAACGCATACCTAGATTTGTGGTGTGTCCTTTTTGCTCATTACGAGGTAACATTTTGAGTTGATATAACGACATAAGGCGATGCACTGTTTCGCGTATATGTCTATATATATACATGCACATATATATATATATATATATATATATATATATATATATATATATATATATATATATATATGGTGTGTGTGTGTGTGTGTGTGTGTGTGTGTGTGTGTGTGTGTGTGTGTGTGTGTGTGTGTGTGTGTGTGTGTGTGTGTGTGTGTGTGTGTGTGTGTGTGTGTGTGTGTGTGTGTGTGTGTGTGTGTGTGTGTGTGTGTGTGTGTGTGTGTGTGTGTGTTCGACTAAAAATGATCGTTGACTCGACATTGATGAGCTTTTTATGCAACGTTCTAGTTTCCGGGCTTTTGACTTAGCACTACTGTTTAGATTAAAGATCGTTCTTACAAAATCGCCCGTATGTTCGTCGCGCTTTGCATTATTTCATTTTCGGAGCAGACTCCATGACGCAAAACAAATAAGTTCTTAGTATAAAAGGATGAAAATTGCGCACTTACATTGGAAAACATCTTTTAGGACGGAAAACACAAATGAAGCACGGCGAATTGAGGTAACACTGAATGTCATTTTTAGTTTGATACATATACAATACACTCCTAATGGGAGCACTACAAAGACAGAAGCATGTTGCCACAATCACATCTATAGTGCTCACCGGCCACCACATAATAATTCAAGGTTGTACAAGAATTTGTTTGTCCGTGTAAGGCTGGGGAGAGCTCGTTAATAAATCTACTTTCCCAGCTTTGAAGGCGTCTTCTTTCGTTGCAAGCCCGTAAAATGTCAATGTTGTCTGTCAGTTGTCGTATCAATGTCCTCTTCTATTCGTGTCGCATGTGGTCCATAGGTGCCCCGTCACGTAAGTGCATTGCCAGGCGTCGTGAGAGAGTCGTTGTGGTCACACCAAGGTAGGGTATGGAACCAAGTTTGCAGCCTTCGATGTTGCATTTGAGTTACCACATTTCATTGGTGCATTTCAGTTTGTTGGGTTTATCTGGGATGTTTCTCATAAGCAAGTCGGAGATTTTCTTATTGCGATAATCAACTATATTGGGATATCGGGAGCTTTGAGAAAAAAAAGAAATCATCATTCGGCGGACGGACAGATCATCGCTCCACGTACTGCTTGACAAAAATAAACATTGTGAGAAACTCAACTGTATCTTGAACAGTGTTTAGAAGCTTCGGTGCATCGCAAAAGATCAAACAGACAAGCCCAACACTAGGCTTAGCAAACTTATCACTGCTGCCAATGCCGCTGTTAATAGCATACCCTTTTTCAAGAGAGCGGGTGAATTTGCGTCTGGTTATGCTTATGGGTCTGTAAAAGCTCACAGAAATGGCAACCCCTCGTCCATTGATGTTCCAGATCCCTTCACCAGTCTATAGAATTACAAACCGTTTTAATGGTCTTCTGACCACATATTTTCCCATGTTCTCCAGGTTATCGTCAGCGGATGAGTTTACTGATATAGTGCGATCTCGTCAACCTAAGGGTCTACGACCCTGTTTAGATTTTAAAAATGTAATAACAAACTTGCCCATTGGAACAGTCATATCCATCATCCTTGGCCGCGTGTAGAATCTTGACGAACTTCCTCCTCTCAAAATATAGGAAGCACCTTCTTGGACAATTACTAAAAGCCTGCAGGCTGGAAGTTCCTTTCCGCAGGCCTGATGGGCGAATGTGTTGTCAAATTGAGGGAGTTGCGATGGGCTCACCTCTATGAACTTTATTCGCAAGTTTTTTATGGGACATGTAGAAGCCGACACAATGCAAAATGACAACATAAGACCGGACAGTTACTGTCGCTACGTAGAATATATTTTTGTTGAGTTTAGGGACATCGATCAACCAGAATGTGTCATAAACACCTTTAAAGAGCAGTCTGGCTTAAATTTACCAAAATCAGTGTGCAAGACATATTACCCTGTCTTGACATGACTGTTCATGGACAAGAACAGCGATTCGGTACGACTGTACACCGAAAGCAGACCAACAAATGACGGTGCTTAAATGCTGGCAGTGAGTGTCCTTGACTTTACAAAATCAGCGTTACAATGTCATTTATTAGACGTGCATTCAAGCACTGCTCTGACTGGACAGGATTGCATTCGGAATTGGTCCGAACCAGACAGATATTGGTAAACAACTTTTTTTCAAATTCTAACGTTGAAAGCGAAATACAGTGACATATTACAAGACAATTTGACGGCCAACCAGGACAAGACAACCAACCAACTGTCGACTGTCTTATCAAAATAAAATCACTTCCGCCCACAGATAAGACAAAGAAGCTCTACGGGAAATCATCTCTGGACATGTAAAGGCAAGAACGGCCACAAAATAAACCTTGTCATCTATTATCGTAAAAAGAAAATCTCCAACTTTCTTATGTGAAACAGCCCAGACAGACCCGACAAACTAAGATACACCAATGTAGTATTGCAACATCGAATGCTGCAAATTTCGTTCCATACCCTACATCGGTGTGACCACAACGACTCTCTCACTGCGCTTTAAAATGCACTTACGTGACGGGGCACCTGTGGACAACATGCCACACGACACAACAGGACATTGATACGTCAACTTACAGACAGCACTGACATTTTACGGGTGTGCAATGACTGAAGACGCCTGCAAATTTGCAAAAGCATATTTATTAACGAGCTCTCTCCAGCCTTAAACAGACAAACAAATTTTTCTCCAACCCTTGAAATATTAGATGGTGGCCGGTGAGGACTATTGATGAGATTGTGACAATTTGTTTATGTCTTTGTAGTGCTGCCGTCATGAGTGTATTTTATATGTATCAAAGTAAAAATGGCATTTTGTCTTACTTCGATTAGCCATGCTTTAATTGTGTTCTCTGTGTCAAAAGATGCTTTCCCCTAGAAGTGCACAATTTTCATGCTTCGACACGGGCTCGTGTGGGGTTCAAATTGAGCCCCCGCAGGTTTTTCCATAATGATTTCCGAAAGACGCGGTTTAGCTGCCCCAGAATTTACATAGTTGTAGACAATTGAACAGTAAATCGTCTGGCACCAACCATTTAGATGTATCTTGTAAGGTCGCTGTCCTATGGTTGGTCAAAGTCAGGCCATGGTTTCAGCGAAGGCAATTTCTATGAGATGGTTTGAGCTGATCCAACAACGGAGTGTTAGACGAAGCCATACATTTCTGAAATACTTTAATAGGCAATGCAACAGTTGAATGAACAAATACAATTGATCTAAGACCAGGTATGAAGGTCAAACCAAGGTCAAAACCAGCCGGTTGTATTGCTCTAGCGCTTGCTGTATGGGGTAGCTCCTGCCGCTCATTTCAAATTTATTGATAACAGGAACCGCATTATACACCTTCCATAGATTTCTTAAAGGTGAGAATAGATCACTGACCTAGAATTACCCGAGTCAACATTTTGTTTTTAGGAACATGCTGCTTAGCGTAATCTTGGTCGCCTATCAAAATGCAAAACTCAAAGCGGTGTTGTATGACTTTGATTACCATTGCCTCCAAAAGGTCAAACAAGTTCGCTGACCCTAGATGAGCATGCGATTTTCGCTGAGAACAGTTGTCAAGGTTCTAGGGGGCCTTTGGGCACAAGCCAGGAATTTGACTTTTTTGACCTGATTTGACTTGAAGGTCATTACCTAAGAACCTAAAACTTTGACTTAGGTGAGTTTATGTATAGGAAAATACACCCCGTGAATTTGGTGCCTCTGGCTCTTCTATTCTCGGAGATCTCAGGGGGGTCAAATTTACCCCCACCCTAGCAAAGGGTATCCAACCGGCCTCCCGAGCGCGTGTTAAAACTCAAAACTTTTTCTTGTGCCATTCAGTCTTCTCCGATGATGAGATAAATCTCGAAACGGAAGGATTTAAAGAGTGATGAATACATGAGTGATTTTGTAAGAACCATCTTTAATGTAAACGATGATGCTAAGTCAAGAGCCCGGAAACTAGAACGATGCATAAAAAAGCCCGTCAATGCCGAGTCAGCGGTCATTTTAATCGACCACGCGTAAATGCCAAAATATTCCAACATATATATATATATATATATATTCTGTTTACCTTATATGTGCCCGAGTACCCGAGCGCACCTGTTGTCGTTGAGCTCCAACGCGGGTGACGTCCTGATCCTCTCTATGCAGCGCAACGCCGTTATGCAAGTGAAGTCTGTGGATAAAAAATCCATCACGTGACATGATGGAGGTGTGGTTTGGAGATTGGACAGAAAAAGAAGGCGCCAAAGCGCCTGTATCGGGGGGTCCACGCGGTCTTTTGGTTTGAGATACAATGAACATCTGCGAGATGTCAAAAACGAACTAGAGAATAACCCGGCGGTCATTTCTTGACAAAACACATTCAGGCCGAAATCCAGTGAGACACGGGCCCTTCACCCCTTTCAGAGGTCATTACATACAAGATAAGACCTCCGTCCGGCATTTCGGACCCTTAAGCCCGACCCAATGTGGAGGGCCCCTAAAGATGGAGTGCGCCCGAGCGGGTTTTCAGATGACCCCTCACAGGACCCCTTGATGACCCCTCACAGTTGCGCTCGCGTCCACGCGTGGCGGTTTGCTCAGCTGAACTGAGATGGTCCAATGGATAGCACAATGAAACCAGTTCGGCTCAATAGGCCCATGCTGACGTTGCGTCGGAGGGCCCACCGTTCAGTATTTGGGGCCCTGACTGGCATAGCATCTTTTCACTACCTCATTGTG